GGCGACGCTGCAGCTGCAGCTGCAGCAGCTCGACGCGCTGCAGCAGCAGGCGCTGTGGGCGGTTGTGAAGTGCGCTGTGGAGCGCCGGCGAGTGGCCAAGTCCTTTGTCGACAGATTTGCGTAAGTTCTCAAATTTCTGTTTTCATTCTTGCAACTTTTTCTTTCATTTTGCTGCTGAGTGGTCTTCATTTGCTGCTGCTGTTTGGCGTGGGTTCTCTTGGGCGCAGCCAGCTGCTGAGGTCGCGCTGGCTCTGTCTTGCTGCTATCGCAGCTGCAGCAGCAGCAGCAGCAGCAGCAGCAGCAGGACAGATCCATCCCGGTCTCAGCAGCGTCGCCTTGGCTGCAGCTCCTTCTCTTGCTTTGCTGCTGCTGCTGCCGCTGCCTGTCTGTTGGCGACGCCCTCTTCGCTTGCTTCTCTCCCGCCTGCCGCCGAGTGCTGCTCTGCTGCTGCTGCCTAGCTGCCGCTGCTGCCAAGCTGCTGCTGCTGCTGCTGCAGGTTGTTCGCCTTTAGCGTCAGCCCTTGTGACAGGCTGAGCTTCAGTCTGTCCAAGCAGGCCAACGAAGGCGCTGCTGCTGCTGCTGCTGCTGCTTCTGGGGACTGTCCGGAAAGCTCCGAGACGGAGCAGCAGCTGCAGCGGCTCGCTGACTCTCTGGCGCTGCGGCAGCAACAGTTGGAGGCCCTTGTTCGTGTAAGCCTTTCCTGCAGCAGCAGGCGCAGCCCAAAGCGCGAGTTCTTAATCTGTACACCTTAAGAGGTAGCGGGCTGCAAGTGGTTAAGGTTTAGGGTTTAGTTTTTAAGGTTTAAAGTTTAGGGTCTAGGGTTTAAGGTTTAGGGTTTGTTTGCTACGTTTTCAGAGCTACCTGCTGTCTAGCTTTATTTGCGAGGGTTTATTTAGCTGCCGGCCGCTGCTGAGCGGCTCTGCAGCCACGGGCGTTGCTGTCAGCAACAGCGACATTGACCTAGGGGTGCTGCTGCCTGCTGCGCTGCAGCAGCAGCAGGCAGATTGGCTGCTGCAGCAGCCGAAAGCTGTTCTCAAGGTTCAACCGTGGGCGGTGCGTCAGAATTTTTGCTGCTGTTGCTGCTGTTCTACTCGCTGCGGCTGCTGCGGTTACTGCTGCAGCC